CCCCCCCCCCCCTTTACATAGACTCGTAGAAAAATAAACATTAATTGCACTCCTACCCGTGGCCGTGTGATAACCTACACTATAATCGATCAAAGTGGTAAGCACTAATACCTGGGATGCCATCTATATCCTCTACTTGAATCTGTACCCAAAAGTTGCTGCTGTTGGTCCCACAAAACAGCCATATCTTCAGGGATATCTTTAGAATTGGCCTGCTTGAACAACTCAATCAGGTCCTGGTGATCATCCTTTGACATGTCTATCAACTCTCGTTCAGCGTTGATCATTTCTTGTTGAATCCTTGCAGCTTTCTGCATATCAAGCTTTTTGACAATTTCTCCCTGGGTCATGTATCGATGGTTGAAGTGTGAATGTATGTTTATATTTTCTTCTCTTTTTGTTAACCTTGTTTTGGCATGCGCGATACATTTTTCTAAATTTTTACATGACGAACAGATTTTTCCAGGAACATTTGTAAACATCTTGCATTTAGTGGAGTAAATTTTACATTCTTCAGAAGCAGTTATATCCACAAGATTTTTGACAACATAACTGTTGTGCTGGATGTTGAAATTTTCTATGCCGTCATCTTCCAATCCCATGCACAATGGTGATTTGGAAAGCAATGAAATCACGAAACGAACTTTTTCCATAATAGACATATCTGCAGTTTTATTTTCAATATCTGTAATATCGATATACCCCGCGTGACGTTTTACTTTCAAATCGATTTTGTTGTGCTGATCAATTCTCGAGAATATTATTTCAGTGAGGACTCTCTGACCATTGAAACTCACGTTCTCATGCTTGATGCAACTGAGGGAAAACCCCTTAATGTTTATGCTCGCATGCCAGTTGTACTCGGCCGCAACAGACGAAATCGCTGTCGTTAACTGCTGCCATTCATCGTCAACAGTTAAGCATCCCCTCATTTCAACTGGTTGTTTTCTTTCTAAATTAATGTAGCCCCACGCACGTCTTGGTTTATCGAACGAAGGATATACTCGGCTTGACTGTTTTGCTTTAACAACACAAGCCTTGCTGGACATAAATAATTCACTAATTGTTTGGCACACGATCTTGCGCGTAATCAAGTCGTCTTTATCGACTAAAATGTTCTCACTTTCAGCTAATGCATGTTTTAAAATATCGTCACGAAAACAAAATGCATCGAGATTTATAGATGGACGATAATTCAAGAGAACCCTATAATAAACGCAATGCGAGATACGAATTTATTTTATATACATATTTATAATAACATACTAGAGTTTATATATTTAACACACATAATCGATTTGTAATATATCAAAGTGTTATTGTATATAAAATAACAATCTTATACCATGTTTTTAACGACACATAAAACGAAGCAGAATGACCAACACGCTTACGCTTCTTATTCACTAGCTCACAATCCAAAACGTTAGAATTTAATGTGGATAACATTTTAAAGAAATAAATTTGCATGGTTTTCCCGCGACAACACGTTTGTTTTGATCCAAATCCTTACTGTCCCCCCTCCCAGTGGAGAGAAATTTGAAATTTTTGTTGATATCCGTTATCCAATCAGGTTTGAGTGTATTTTGAGTTGTTCAACGACTTCCGCTTTTTGCACAGCAAACCGGGCACGCGGATATATTTTGGCCGAATTTTGTTATTCCCTCACGGATTTCAGAGCGAATTTAAGCTATTTGATTAAAGCATCGTTGTTTTGAGAGTTATACGGTGTCATTCTTGCAGGGGATGTCGATTAATCGTGAAAGAAATGCATTAAAGGCGAAAAATCGAGGATAGTTTCGGGTGACATATGCCAAGTCTGGGCTATTTTGGTCTCAATGTCTCCGTCCAGAGGAGGAGTGAGGACTATACCGGCATGCAACGCGGTCAGGCGTGGTTTTTTACATATCGATTTCTCGCTCTGCGCCGTCAGTGTTCGGTCGGCTTTCGCTATGTTTACACCTCGAGGTTTCAAGAGATTCAGAAAAGATTTATAGAAAAAAAATTGTAAAATGGTGAATTTTTGCACTATGCATGGAAAGAAAGCTTCGTTTTTGGGTGGACACGAGCTTCTGTGTGTTCTGAGGTGTGTTCACTGTGTGTCAAAACAGCCTTTAATCTTATAAATTTCGGAAGGATTACCGTGTGATGAACTTGAATGTCGTGAGGTTCATGTTTATAGTTCTATGGATAGTTCGATGAATAGTCCTTTGTCCAGCAGTGGTTAACGGGATAAAAATTGATGAATTTGTTCGCTGATTGCGGTAGTCCTGCACTGGTACAAATTCATTCTAGTTGTGTTTTTAAGGTGAGATGATTTTTATATTAAATAAAAATAGAAAAATCCTCCTATGTTGTATTAAAAATACAGCAGTATTATTAAAAACGTATTTTTATTTCATATCATGTAGTTCTTCGACCCTAATGATCCACGGGAAGGAGGTATAAACGAAGAATATAACAATATTATGTTGTTGGTTGTTTGACATTTCAACATCATCAACATCCCAAATAGTCAAGATGATGAGTTGGATAGTGTACTTCCACCAACAGAATTACATCAGCCAACTGATTGTAGCTGTTTTAATTTACCAATAAATCCTGTTTGCCCTGACACACATTCATACACACCAAATGATGGAAGAAGCACCCAGTGATAGCATTGTAGAGAATGAAATGGAGGCGATTCAGTACTATCATGACACTATATATAAATGTATTGACTACTGTGTGATGCATTGCAAGGATTTATACTGATCAACCAGTTATCTATGCTTAAATGATCAACCAGTTGTCTATTATTTCATCCTGCCTAACGCCAGATTATTTTACTGTCTAACACTAGACTATTTACTCATCAGGGGGAGAGTACTGACACTCAAATACTCAATGGGTTAAAAAACATTGAAACAAAATGTTTAGCAGAAGCTGCAAAATTGTATATTGGTGTCGGTGTAATACTGACATTTCTTTTTTTTGTAAGGATAGAGCTGGGGAACCTGTAGTGGTACAGTCTTGGCCCTACCCCGGTTTTCCTGTACTGCATGTGTTTTCGTCACTTCCCTGATTGGGTCGTTCCAGAAAAGATCCATACTCCCCCCACGGAGGAAAGTTCTGCCATCCGGAGGGGGGGGGGGGCGGAGAAAGATTTGTTTCTGATAATAGTAAATGTATTAGGACGTCCGTAGGGGGTGGGGGAGTTAACTTCCTATTTCCTCTGTGGGGGTGGTATGGATGTTTTCTGGAATGACCCATTATACCATAAGTATTGTATCCCATGGACACCATCTTATCAGTTCTGTAGTTTTTTGACAATCTACCGTAAACCTCCAACTATAAGCACTGGGCTTATATTCTTTCGTAAGTGATTTTTGATGGGCTTACACAAGGGGGGCTTATACACGGGGGGGGGGGGCTTATATTCAGAGGTTTATGGTTTATGGTATGTATGGTATTCACGATTTTCAGTGTATGGTCTTCTCTTGCTCATCACAAATTAATAAAAAGATCACACACTACATAATTGATGTTTATAAAATTTATTTATTTTAAAATCGAAAAAATGTTAACATAATATTACTGTACTTAAAGATAATTAAAATGGTTTTTAAAAAAAAAATTATGTGCACAAATAAAGAGAAGTTTTTAAAATGTTGCATTACATTCATTTCACCAGTACACATGAATAGTATATGAGCTTAATTAATGATGTATTAAAACAATCTAGAGGTATTACATAATTGGTAAACCTCTTCAATTGCAATCATTCGCATGATTATCTGCAACAGATATGAATTCAATGAATGCTTTATCTTCCTCGCATGTCCATTTATGAAGTTTTACTGGGAATTTCTTTGGAGGTGTCGGTTTAATCTTTGTGATAGGAAACTACAGAACAAACAGCAAAAGTGAGAGAGGCAATGTCAGTGCCAGCACCATTAGACAACAACAAAGAAACTCATGGATTTTACCAGGATTGTGGGCATGCTTCTCCAGGAAATTTGTGCACTATAGGTTTTCTGAAATGCCACTCCCAGCATTGAAAAATATCATTGGCGTACGGGTGGACAGAAATTGCCCAACATTGTCATGAGTTTATTTATAGATGAACAAGAGGTATAAAATAGAAGGAACATAACTCCTATGCAGACTTGCAGAAATTCTGTTTGAAGTCAATCTTAAAACAATTGCCCAATTTTTAAAGCAGATTCCTGCCCAACTGAACACTGACTGGAGGGTTGCAACCCCCAGCCTTGTACGTCTTTGGACAGAAATTCTCACAGGCAAAAAAGCATTAAAATACAATGTTATTGTTACTATGATAATAACTTTTAGCCCCCCCATTAACATCTCATTGTCTCACTAACCCATTGAGTGGCAGCACTCTCCACTTGAGAAGTAAAATGGTCTAGCGTTAGACAGAGTAAAATACTAAAGTAGGGTGCATCAGGGCGTATTGCCACTTAAAGGGTTTAAAATACAATGTTTTTGTACTGTATTTTATGTTTTCAGTCGTACTGTATTTTATGTTTGTAAAAACCTTTGTACTTTTATACCTTTGGTGATGTTCCAGGACTCTGAAACAAAGTTCGACTTGATGTTGAATTCTTCAAACGTGAAATTTTGTGTCTCTTATTATTAGGTTTCCCTGGGGTATCACCTTTAGACGTATATACCCTCGTATATACTCGCTTTTAATATGGTAGTATCATTTCATTCGTCACTAACAACGACAACATCACTACTATCTGCATGATTCCATGTCCGAATTCTACAACAAAATGACAAAAATACAGTCAATACAGTAAACTAACATTCTGACCTTAATTGTAAAGGTAACATTACACTCAAAATATGTAACAACTACATGCGTATGTTTCAAAGATATAGAAAATAGTTTCCTTCGCGCCATAAGGATCAACACCCGTCTATTCCCGCCATCGGCATTAAAATATAGCAAAAATACCCCATTTTCAAACCGCGATTGCTTGTCGATTTGGAGGAGCGATCTAGCGTTTTAAAGAACCAACAGAAAGAGCAAGTCTTCCTGAATTTGATGACGTGTTTTTTTTTACTTTTCTCATTAAAAAAGGTAGTTCGCTCCTGCGTTATTTCAAAGCCATTTTTTTGGCGTGTCCATTGACCCGAAACAAGCATAAATACAATGCGTAATTAGCATAACTAAAAATCAATATCTATACCAAAAAAATATAAAACTGTTTAATTAGATGTCCAAACAAAACAATTATCATCACATACCTTCGAAAAAACGAGATCTTCAGAGCCAAAAATCGCAATATATTTCAACAACTTTTTCGTTAACATTTGCCAAAAATCGTAATTGTGAATAATAATGAGACGCAATGCATTGTGGGAAGACCCTCACTCCTCCTCTGGTCTCCGTCCTTCCCTCGTTATAAGGAAGGCACAGGCGGGCGCGGGCAAATCGAGCCTGGGCCTCCTGTGATAATACGAATTTTCAAATGTCTAAAAAATAAATTTTTAATTGATGATTCATCAGTGATCGCTCTTCCACTTTTAAAACAATTAAGTCGCTATATTATTGCGTGCTTAAGCAGTTACCCTGTCATAAATAAGTTTAACTGATAATAAAATACTATAATGCAGTACAAGAATCTAAGGTACTCTGAAGAAAAACAGTATTTGGTTGTTAAAGCAGATTGACACTTTTACACTTTTTGAATGATCAATGCATACTTTCATTAAAGAAGGTACGCCAAGGTAAACAAGCCTTTAAGGACAGTTGCAAGACATAAGTATAAGTATATTTCCGTTAAAACGTCACACCCCAAGGGCCGCGACTATAAACTATGTATATCTAACTATATCCGACTATATCTAACTGTTGCGCTATACTTTTAATCAGTTTAAATCGAAGTTATATTTGTAGATTAGGCATTTCATATACGGCTTTTATGCGCTGAAATTCGACTGCGTATTAATTCAAGATGGCCACCATAATTTCATTTTTACACTTTTCGGGTTTGACTGTGTTATACCGCACTGACATGGTATGTGGTACAGGTGATGTATCCGAACATCTTTGAAAACCATTGAAAACTTGCATAATTTATTCAATTCTCGAAAACGTACACCTGCATGCATGCCATTTCTTATTCGAGTGCAATTCTTTTTTAAAAAAGTTACGAAACACCAAAGGCCATACAAAAATAAATCCCGGCTTATCATCAGCGCCCGCATCTTTTATTCGTGCCGAATGGAATTTTTGTAAATTTTTTATTAAATAAAAGTTGTTTTCATCAGTCTTTCATCACAACGGGACAAACCCACCTTTTCTTGACATCGAACGATGTAGTTGGTTGTTATTTTATATACTGTTCCAATAGTTCTACAAGCACGTTTACGAAAACTATTACGTTTAAGTTCGTGAATGAACGTGGCGGAAATTTGTGGCAATTCAGTAGATGAAAATGTACTAGCATTCGAAAATATTATTTCATACGATTGTACTGCATGATTTGACTTATTCTTCCGTATATATATATATATATATATATATATATATATATATATATATATATATATATATATATATATATATATATATATATATATATATATATATAT